AGGTAATCACCCCATATTTTGCTGTGACTACCTTGCAGTGCATCCTGCACAATGATCGGAAAGAGAAAAACCGGGTGTTCTCAGCCAGGCACCCCCCCTTCAGTGCTTTTCAGCTGCACCTTCCAAGGCCCAACTCTGGATGGGGACACATCAGCTTCCATCGCTGTCAAATGGGATGGTATCTTTGAGCGGCACATCCTGACATAACCCTGGGGTTTTGGACCTGAAACAAGCAGTTTGGTCTCCGCACCTCCGGTAGATATAGAACGCCAGGGCCCCAGCGTTGCAAGCAGCTAACTTGACCGCTGCCCAAGAGCCTCGCAGCTCAAATCATTCAAAACTTAATATCACCAGTGATTTGCGAGTGTTTTGAAGATAGCCGCTGGCCATTGGCCGAACCATCTTTGCTGGGGAGCCTGGTGAGGCCAGAGTAATGTGCCGGATGTGCCTTCAGATTCGACTGGTGCCACTGCACCAACTCCTCGGTTGCTGCCAGTTCATTCGGCTTCTGCTGGAACTTGCAACGTGTTCAGTTCATTCTGTGGAACAGCATGCTACAAGTCGCTTGTGGCAGCATGCGGGACTGTGGGGGGCCATTGAAGGGCTCTGCACTGATCGTGTTGCGGAGTGGCTTCCGCAGGCACGACAAACAGCAAGTCCACCATGGGCCGCGTCTTCTGATCGTAGCCCTCCTCACAGTTTGTTCAAAGCTACAGAGGTTCTCCATGTTGAAAATGCTCCTCATCGCAAGAAGCTCTCTCAAATCTCAGATGTTCGGCCACACAGCTGCAAATCCTTGCATCTCGCTTGTTTCTGCCGCAGTCCTGCCAAAAGACTCCGGAGCCATAGCCAATGGTACAATCAAAGGCCGGGAAGGAGCTGTAGTCCACGTCCAGCTTCCACTGATTTTGAAGTCTGCATAAGCTTCGCCATGGCATGTTCAATGCTCGAAAGAAACTCTATGTGACGCGAGGCAACTCCGTGTGTGACTATGTGTGACTATTTGTGACTCCATGTGACTCCATGTGACTCCATGTGACGCCATGTCACTTCATTCTTACAGCTTATTGAATTAACTTTGGCGCGTATTTTGTCCTTGACGCTTCTCGAGCAAAGCTGGTATGAAGCTGCAGTCACCCTCCAGCTGCAGGAGCATTCTTCCGTGCGTCATCTCATGTGGTTGTCGCTCTTCAAATGCCTGTCCTGTGTATCCGCATCCTCTGCTGATGGCAGGCATCTTGGCGCCTTTTGATTCGAGCCAAGCCTCTTTGCAACTGCCAAAGTGCTCCACACGGAGCAAGCTGCACGCTGCATTTCAGCAAATGTTTGTACACTGCAACTGATTCTACTAATCTCGCATCAGACTGTGCCGCCCTGATTCGCCAAGCTTGCTGTAGCATGTGCAGCTCTTCATGCACTGCTTTGGCATGGTTGAGCCAAGGCCACGGCCAGCATCACTTTCCTTGGCATTCCAAACAAGTCAACAGGTTGGCACTCATACTATGGCTGGATCTTCCACAAGCTGCACAGCACTGTGACGTCGACTGGATAAATTGCAACCAACTACTGAATCAACATCCTGACAATTGCAGCAGAGCTGCCCGGGAATTCAAACCTTATTGGTCAACTCTGGCACAGTCTCGAAAAGGTCGGCCACCAAGCCATAGTCCGCGACCTGAGGAAAGGCATCGCAAAGCACCAGGTTAGCCAGTGCTGTTGCATGAATCACACTGATGGGCCTGAAAAATCGGTGCGTCTGCATCCTTGTTGATTGCAACGATGGTTTTGGAGTCCTTCCAAAGAAAAGCACGCATGCATCATACATCATGTTCTTGCCTGCTGATAGCAGCGAGCTACAATCTGTTCGATTGAAGCCTTTGTGAACAAATTGCATGTTGCATGTTGCTCGCCTTACATGGTGGCCTTGCTAAAGTGCAACTTCCGGCTTGAAATACAAAGATTTGCCACCGGTCCTTCATGCCTGCCAAGTGCTGGATCGCCCCGCTGATGCCAACCGCGATGTACAGCTGGGGTGCCACGACCTTTCCAGTCTGGCCAACCTGGAAGTTCGGTTCGGAACTCTCCGAAGCTCTGACTCCCCGAACCCACGGGACCCACGTCACGCCTGCAGCTCGTTGGGAACGAAGCCTGCATCTACCGCTGCCCGTGAAGCGCCCAGTGCAGCCTTTAGCTTGTCGCACAAAGGTTCCAGCACCTAAACCAGTAACATGCGCTTGCAAGCGTGAGATGCATGAGCATGGAAAGAACAAGTCCGTAGCTTCGACTTTTTGGTAAACTTGATAAATGCACAATTTTGCTTCCGAGCCTTCTCAAAGTTCTCCCCACTCTTCAGGCCGCGTCCACCAGCAACAACTCGGCTAGCCTGCTGACAACCGCAAAGGCCAGGTGCACTGCGCTGAACGATTCTCAGAGGTCTTGCCCTAGTATTCCATGATTAAAACCGGTGTATGATCCTGAAAAACAAACGCAAACTGTTGAAGTCTGGTGAACAGCGTGACTGCACTCATGTTCGATCTGAGTAGCACTGCTGAGCTGCGGCTTGTCACTAGTAGCTTCCGAGTCCTTCAGCCATTGCATGCCTGGCCACTTGTTCGTCCAACCATCTCCTCGCCCCTCCTCTCTCTCTCTCTTTTTTCCCCCTGTCCTCTCTGGGTTTCTCTCTGTTTCTCCTGTTTCTCTCGCTCTCTCTATGTCTCTTTTGTGTTCCTTCCTCTGTTGCTGGCTGATGGCGCAAGACCCAAACCAGCAAAATAGACTATCCTCCGAACCTGCTCCCGCATAGGTTGAGACGCTCAGTGGTTCTGTAGGTGCAGAACTCGACGCCTCTCCTGCTGCCTACACGTTGGCATGATGCTGCTCTGGACAGCCGAGCAACGAATACAACAAAATTGGCACATTGAAATGATGTTTGGCACATGCCGCAAGCAAGCACCAACGCCACCTCGAAGGCTGTTTGCCTGAATGTCAAAAGTCGAACTGAATCGCTTGTCTTGACCTCAGGTCAGCATTCATGAACACAACCCCGAGACGACCACATTGAAGACATGTTTGAAGATCGAAACAGCATCAAGGCTGTGGCAAACAAACATACTGAGTTTGCTTGAGCGTCAGGTGGCATTCTAAGCCTGTAAGTTGCCTGAGGGCAGATCTAGGCAAACTAAGGCCATTGCAGTAGCGATGGCATTGCCAGCGTACATCGGCCGGCAAAATACGCCATCCTCCTCAAGATGCAGATCTCATGCGGTTGACTGTGCAGGTACCTTGAAGGAAGAGCTTTTGTTAAAGATGACCAAACGTGAGGGAACGCTAAACTCTACTCGCCCGTTGACCAACGTGGAATCCTAAACTGAAGCGTTTGGATTTAAAGGGGAAAAAGCTTTGCAGTGATTGAGAGACCCTTTACTCCCCTAGACAAATAGGGCTTGCCTCCTGGCAAAACAACAGTATCAGGTTCATCTTTGATGCCAGCCTCAGGGCAGCTAGCACCAATTATTAATTTCTTGTTAACCGTACTGTGAGGGAAAAGTGGATCAGCTGACGTGATCCTGGATGCAATGACTGCGCGAAGCTGCTCTCCTGCCCGACATCAACTATGTCTGTAATGGGCTGCACATCGAGAGATGCTGCCAAACGCGGCAAAGTTTCCTGGCATCCAAAGGCTAACTCCGAGACTAAATGAAAACGATTGTGTCACGCAGCGAGCAGTATTTCCGCAGGAGGCCTTCGCCAGGGAGCTAGCAACACCGGCGATTGCTTTGTAGCCTTGAAGCAAATACACAATGGCCAAGGCCCTTCCTTCATCCTGGTTTCCTGGCGAAAACATGGTGATCTCTGAAAAATAACATTTGCCTTTTGATTCTCAGTTTGACCCAAGTTGCCGTTCTGCTTCTGCAGGGCCTCTAGCCTTGCACATGCGCCAAAGCGGCTGCAAGCAGCCCGGAATGTTAAACATTCTGAAAGCACAAACCAAGCGCATCAAGCGCATCACACGGCACCGAGCTGCAAATCTGCCATGGTGTCTGCCACAGGGTGCTCCAATTGGTCAGATTCTGCCACCAAAACCTGGTCAATGCCACACCCACATTTACAATATATTAAATTGCGAAGCCTTGCTGACACCCTGGATGGCAGCTCCAGCTTTAGCAACGTCTCCACAGCCTGGAAAGAACCCAAAAAACAACTTGAAGAGTGACTGAAGCAAATCTTCGTTGCACCTGTCAAATTGCTAAAGAGTTGGCATGATTCAACACCCATTGTGCAACATGTGACTCCTGCCTCTGCCTGCAACCAGCAAATCCACTGAGGTGCAGCCCGGCAACTTGGCCCTGCAAAATGCAAGTTGCAAAGTGCCCTTGCGCAGTGCCTTGTCACGCACGCTGAGAGAGACACGCTGCAGAGACAGCATGAAGCGTGGCCTCCAGATACAATGTAAGGACAAAAGTTTACCACTGACAATATCCGACTCAATAGCCTTGTTGAGCGTCTTGTTGTTGTGCTCTGCGAGCAACAACGTCGCATATCCTGAGCTAAAGCAAAACAAGTCTAGCCATACCACCAGCAAGTTCGAAGCAAACAAGTCCCGCCTCGTCGCGCGGCATGAAACAGCCGCGGTCTGAAACGGCACAAGGATGCCATGTTTCGTGCCTCACATTGTGCAAACACTACAAAGCACGCAAATAAAAATGTGCGCACAGGCCAGCCTGGTCTCGCAATAAACCGTCTCGCTCAAATTCAAATGTTCTGAGAGCCAAAACCCACAACACTTATGAAACTGGACATGTGCCGAATTGAATGTTGGACTTATCAGACTGCACTGCCGCAATACGTCGTGATGGAACATGTCCAACCGGGCAAAACGGGCATGGTCATACTCCACGTTTGCTTTTCCGAAATGGACCTGCACAACTTCAAATGAATACAACATCACACAAGGAATCAACATGCGCTTTAAGCACCTTGCCATAGACCACACCCCCGAGAGCAGCATGTATGCACCCCTTGAAAGACAAGGCTGGTCAAAGCCTCGCAAGACAGTAGAACCACCCAGCTCAAGGTAGGTAACAACAACGAGACGCTCCAGAGAAGTCGACGGCAACCAGCGTCGGTCACACTGTTTTTCACCACACTGCCTCAAGTGGGTGGGATCGTACGTGTTGGTCGATCAGCATGTATTCTCTGGAGTCGTTGTCGGTGTCTCTTAGACACCACTGACTCGAAAAGAGTACAACGCATAAAAGGTAAGCAAACGCCAAAAGCATGCAAACCAAAATGTTGCACAGCAAAGTATCGAGAGAGAGTGGACGTTCTCCCGTCGTAGGTCAACTCCCGTCGAAGGTGAAGCCGAAGGCGAGCGACCAAGACAAAGAAGATGAAAATAAGTCCGGCGTGTCGGGCTCTCCCGGGACGTGGAAAGCCCTTGGCCACATTGTGTGATGTGGGATTGGTGGAACTCTTGGAGTTCCGGCATTTCGTCGAATCCGACGTTGTGGGCGAACGCAATGTCGCCTATGATGCGCCAGCCCCGTCGTGACCAACAAAGAGTAGTAAGGAACATAGGCTTATAATTTTCGGTTTTGGGTCGAAAAAGCTGCCAAAACAGCCAAATTTCGCATCCTGCTGAACGTTTTTCCGATGTCACCGTTCGATGTCACCGCTCCCTTTTGGGCCGAAAAAGTGCTCAAAACGACCGACTTCCCGAATTCCCGAAAAGCTCGTTTTTTTCAGGCAGACGGCAAGTAAGGGTCCTCAGCCTCTCGATTCGCTCGTTTTCGGCCAAAAAAAAGGCTCCAGACGCGGTCACCGCAACACCGCTCCCTTTTGAGCCGAAAAAGTGCCCAAAACGGTCTACTTCCCGACTTCCCGAAGACTTCGTTCTTCAGCAAAGTTTTCCGTTTTTCGCCCAAGCACGGCAGCCTGCCGAGCTCCTCGCCCCTGCCCCGCCAGCCTGCCGAACTTGCCACCGTCTTTGTCATCGGGTCTAACACGCCAACCTGCCGAACGTCCTGAGAAGGGTTCAAAATCTCGGCAATATTGAATCAATGTTAAATCAACTTGAAACAATCTTGGTTCATTAGTGGGCAAGGGTAGCCCGGTGTCGCCATCGGGAGCCAAGGGAGCCAGGTCCGCCCAGAGCGCCATGTCCAGCTGCGTGATCTCCTCCACCACCAGCCAGTCCAGCTTTTGCGCGCTGCCCCCGCGCACGAACCTGCGCACCCAGTGGTCGGCCGTCTGCGCCCCCAGCCCCAGGTTCTGCGGAGCAGTGCGTCTTGGACACCAGGCGCACCGCCTCGCCCTGCTCTCGCAGCCTCGCAACAATGGTCCGGGCCAGGTGCGTCTTTCCGGTGCCCGGAGCCAAATTGCGGCGCATATCTAGGGGTCATTATTTTGCAGCCACACGCCTGCACGCAGCGTTTTAGACTTCGAATCCTTCGCAGGACGAGGTCATTTCCTGGACGGACGAGTGCTAGGAGCCTGTCAGGTAGAATAGAATCCATTTGGGAAACCCCCTCTAAAGAGAGAGGTTGGCCTGCTCTGCAAAGAAGCGTGCTGTGCAGAGGAGAGTGCTCTGCAAAGGAGAGTGCTCTGCAAAGGAGCGTGCCCTGCAAAGAAGCGTGCTGTGCAAAGAAGCGTGCTCTGCAAAGAAGCGTGCTCTGCAAAGAAGCGTGCTCTGCAAAGGAGCGTGTTTTGCAAAGGAGCGTGCTCTGCAAAGGAGAGTGCTCTGCAAAGGAGAGTGCTCTGCAAAAGAAGCGTGCTCTGCAAAGGAGCGTGCTCTGCAAAGGAGCGTGCTCTGCAAAGGAGAGTGCTCTGCAAAGGAGCGTGCTCTGCAGAGGAGCGTGCTCTGCAAAGAAGCGTGCTCTGTCTTCACCGCGCCCGAAGCTGACTCACCGAAGCTGACTCACCGAAGCTGACTCACCGAAGCTGACTCATTGATTTCTCTAGTTGTGTGTCTTCGCGCGGCGCAGTCTGCAGCGGAACTCCACGCGGGCAGCAACCAAAAAATGGTTGGTGCCTGTTTCCAGTTCCGAGGCACTTCGAAAGCACAAGTGCCACTTGTGCTTTCGAGCGTCACATTCCTGCCCGGCATCGGAGGCTTCGATACCTAGCGCGCCACATTCCTGCCGCGCTACCTGCCCGGCATAGAAGCCTCCCGGCCGCGCCACCTGCCCGGCATCGGAGCCCTGCCGAGCCCGCGCCAAGGTCGGAATTCTTCCCAGGAAAAAAAAATGTCGAGGTTGTCGTCTAAGCCGACAACTGTCTAAAGTTTCGGCGAACCTGCCCGGCATAGAAGCCCCCGGCCGCGCCACCTGCCTGGCATAGAAGCCTCCCGGCCGCGCCACCTGCCCGGCATTGAAGCTTGAAGCCTCCACACCGGCCGGCGCCAGCCCGCCCGCCGCGGCAGAGACCACCGGAGGCCAGCAGGATGAACGCACCGCCGCACCACCTGCCCGGCATCGGAGCCTCCCGGCCGCTTCGAAAGCATAAGTGCCACTTATGCTTTCCAGCATCACATTCCTGCCCGACATCGGAGCCGCGCCAGCCCGCCGACGTGGAGGCTTCGATACCGAGCGCGCCGCTCAAAAACATAAGTGGCACTTATGTTTTTGAAGTGGGTTCGTTTCAATGCGTTCCACCACCCGGCCGCGCTAACGCCACCCGAGGTCCAGGAAAAAAAATCCAGTTGTCCCGTGGGGGGACGACTGTAGGGAAAAAAAAATTCCAGTTGTCGCGTGGGACGACTGTAGCACGCTTTTTATTTGACCGGTGAGGTCTTGCGATTGACCGGCGCCATCGGTCAAATCATTTCGGCGAAAACATATGTAAACATGTTTGAAGGACCTGTCACCGGCAACATCCCGGAGGTCCTGGACAACGGAGAGGTAACGGACGGCACGCACGTCACCGGGGCAGCTGGCCCTGGCTCTGACGCCCTACGCGCAAGTAACGGACCTGGCGGTGAACACGGCAGCCTCCGGCAACAGCTGCCCGCGCACGGAAGCAGCATCGCAGCGCTGCAGAGCTCGCTGACCACGGGTCTCTCCAACAAGGCAGACCAGTCGGCCTTCGACGTGCTGGAGGGCGTGGCGGCCACGAAGAGCACCCCGGACGGCGTGGACCTGAAAGCTGTCCAACTACAGCACCACGGCGGCCATGAACGGCTCCATCGCCTCGGCCAACAACGCCACGCTGGCCACGGTGGCCGCCAACTACGGCCTTGGACATAGCGGCGAGGATCATGCCGCTGGAGGTCGACACCAAGGTGGCCAACGCTCTCCTCGGGGCCGTCTCCGCCGCAGCGCTGGCCTCCGAGCTCGCAAGCAGAGACGCCTCCATCGCGGGGCTGCAGGCCTCCAAGGCGGACGCCAGCGCGCTGACTGCGTACGCCCTGCTCTCTGAGGTGGACTGTAAGATAGCGGCAGCCCTCCTAAACGCAGTCACCACGGCAGCCCTGGACGCGGGCGGACGCCAGCGCGCTGGCCTCCCTGCTCTCCACGGTGGACGGGCTGGACACTCCGCTGGAGGTGGACACCAAGATAGCAACGCCAGCATCACGGCGCTCCAGGGGGCCAAGGCCGAAGCGACGCTGCTGGCCTTGTACGCCACGAACGCCGCGCTCTCAGCCAGCGAGACCGCGCTCCAGAGCGCCCTCGACGCAATCCTCGCGGAGCTCGCCGCCCTGCAGCGGCGGAGTTGTTAATGCGCCGGCCTGGGCGGGCTTCACAACTTGGGAGCTCATTCGCGGAAGCAACGTCGTTCGCAACCTGCATCTGGAGGCTCCTCTCTCTGCTGCGCTGGCCAACGGCGACGACACGCTGAGCATCACGGCAGACTGCTACTCCATCGCAGCGGCGGACGGCCCTCGCGGCTGCGCTGCTGCCCTACTACACCTCCGCGCAAGTGGACGCGCTGTTGGGAGATTACCGCACGGCAAGCGCGCAGGACACGCAGACGCAGGCGGCCATCACGGGCGCGCTGCTGGCCTACTACACCTCGGCGCAGGTAGACGCGCTGTTGGGAGACTACCGCACGGCGAGCGCGTAGGACACGCAGACGCAGGCCGCCATTACAGGACGGGCCCGGACCAGGACGTCTTCACAACCAACCAAGTCACCTCGGCGCTGGTGGCGTACCGCTCAGCCGCCGACCAGGACACGGCGACGGCCTCAAGCATCGCCGCCGCCCTGCTCAGCTACTACACCATCGCACAGGTGGACGGCCTCCTTGCCGGCAAGCTCGGAGTCACGGTGCGCTTTCCGGACGACGGAGGGGCCGACGAGGTGGTCGCCATAGGAGAGCAGATCCTGGCCCCCACGGACGTCTCACTGTCAAACTGGACGGTTCGCCCCAGCAGCGGCTGCAGCGTGGTCCTGGCCACCCACACCGCGGGAGTGAGCGTGGACGGCTACACCCTGACTCTGGCGGCGAACCCGTGGAACATTGTGCGCACACCTACAACTTGACCCCCGGCCGAGAGCTCCTCTTCGCCTGCCGGTACCGGCTCGGCACGGCCTCCAACTTCGTGG